GACCGGCACTGAGTCGCGGCACGGAGAACACGAAGAAACGGGTGGTTTGGGGCCCTTCTCCCTTGCCGTGGGTCGGTGGGATATTGGGACTGTCGGTACTGAGGTGAGCACGATTATTTATACAAACCTCAGCTCCGAGCAAGGGTTAGGAAAAAGAGGGGTTGATAGTGGGGTGTGAAGAGTAGGGCGAAAAGAAATGAAAAAAACGAATTCGTTTTTAACATTACTTTCGCGGCGGAAAAATAAAAAATGGATAGCGAGAAGTGATTGAGCAGAGGGGAAAACATAGGGTTGAAAAAAAAGAACGCTGTTGTGAGATAAAAATTAAGAAAGATAGAAAAAGTAAACGTTACAGAAAGAAAGAAAGCCTGTAGAAGAAATAGTAAAAAAACAAGTAAGGACATAAGATGGAAACTACAACCGAATAAGTGAAAAAAGAAGTAAAAAGAAAACGAAAACATAATTATAAGTAAAATTAAAATATAAGTTAAAAGATGAGAAATGTAAAGTTCGGTTGTAGCATGGGGTGGTAGGCAGGTAATCGGGAGGCCCCATAGGGGTGCAGAAACCGGTCAACTCGGCCGGCGTTGTTGATTCGGAGAATAAATTTCTAAATAAAATTCACGTCCGTATCAATTCCCCCCTGGTTTGAAGAAATTTAGTCTCCTGTATTCGGAACTGGCCGAAGTTGATCGTGGTGGAGCTTTACCAACCGGTTATTCTTTTCGATCCAGTATGTATTTCCTCCCACGTAGCTGTGAACTGTATGTGGACCGGACCATCGTGGGGCAAATCCAGCATGGAAATGCTGCTCGGTACTGGATAGGGGATGCTCTCTGCTGTAGACCAGTTGGTGGGGTCTGTACCGATGTACTTCAGGTTCAGGCACGGCTCGTTGCTGTTTGTATTCCCGCTGATGTCTTCGGATGTCGTCGACTGGTTCCCGAAACGGAGGTGGTTCTATTACATTTTCATCTGCTGGAACGTTTTCACATTCGCCCGGTCGTAGGAGAGGCCGTCCAAAGAGGGCGTAATAGGGAGTAGTGACAGTTGCAGCGTTTTGCCGGCCACGTTGGTCGAAAAGTATTTTCGACAAATGGGTGTCCCAATTACGATGCTCTCCTGATTCCAAATACATGCGAAGGCCAGTCTTAATCTCCTGGTTGCGACGTTCAGTTGGGTTTGCTCTCGGATGATACACGGAGGTGGTCCAATGTCGCACTTTCCATTTTATACAAGCAGCCTTCCATCCTTGACTTGTAAACTGGGACCCGTTGTCGGAAAGAATTGCCCGAGGATAACCGAAACGATGTAGGACTTCCTGTTCCAGTAGGCGCACGATGATAGCGGTGGTTGATGAGCTAATAGAGAAACATTCCACCCAACGGGAAAAAATATCGGTGACGACCTAAAATGAATTTCTTCCCTCTGGAGGTACGCGGATAAGGTCCCATCAAGTCGAGTGCTATAGTATCCCAAGGTTTGTCGGGTTGACGGGGTCGTAGAGGAGCTGGAGTTACACGTTGCTTCTTGTAGCATTGACAAATGCGACATTGTCGAACGTGCCTTGCGACGTCTGATTTCATGCTAACCCATTTAAAAAATAGTGATAATCGCCGAGTGGTTTCCTGGATGCCTGGATGTCCTGCCTCGTCATGGTATTTATATATGAGTTGCGGTTGAAAGGATGTACAACCATAAGCCAATTGCCTGCCTTCTTCTGCCAAAGAACGTCGTCAAAGATCCGGTAACTCTGAAGAAACGTCGCGTCATCATCAGTGTGACCCAGTGGATTTTTCGTCAGAAAATCATGCGCTGTCGAAGTTGAATTGTGTCTGGATCAATCTGTTGTTCCCTTCTGATTTCGTCGCGGAACGTTTCAACCTGAACTTGACATACTCCCGGTGCAGCAGCTTCGTTACGGGAAGGTGGGAGAAGACGAGTGACGTCATTACTGTCTGGAGACAGCAAGTCGGTAGCTGGTAGACGGGACAAGGCGTCGGGCAGGTGATTGATGTTTCCTGGACAGTGTTCCAGGGTAAAGGTAAACTCTTGTAGGAATGCCCATCTGGTCAATTTGGCGCGAGCGTCCTTCATGTTTAGTAGCCATGTAATCGTTCTGTTGTCAGTTCTTAAAATGAATCTTTTATCTTCCAAATACGGACGATACTTTTTCATGGCCCAAACTATAGCGAGGCACTCCTGCTCGTTGCTGTGGTAAGCTCTTTCCGTGGGATTAAACCGAGTACTAGCATAAGAAATGACTTGCTTTTCTCCTAGGGGTCCTTCTTGGTATAAAACTGCGGCGGCTCCTTGCTTACTAGCGTCTGTTTGCAATATGAAAGTCTTTTCGAAATCCGGCCGATGGAGATGAAGCGGTTGCTGCATAAGCCTTTGGATATTTCGAAAAGACTGCTGGCATTCTTGGCTCCAATTCCACTTCTTTCTGGGGCTTAGAAGGTCCGTGAGGGGGGCCGATACTTCCGCGAAACGGGGCAAGTATTCCCGCAGCCAATTGCATAAACCCAAGAACTTCTTTAATTCTTTTCTTGTGGTTGGAACGGGCGCTTCGTAAATTCTACCAAGGTGACTGGGCAGCGGAGAGTTTCCTTCTTCAGAAATGAGGTGCCCCAGATAGGTTATTGTCCTGGACCCGAAGACGCATTTTTCGGGTGCGCAGGCCAGGTTGTGCTGTTGCAAACGTTCGAATACCCGACGTAGGTGCTGAATGTGCTCTTCCCAGGTACGTGAGAAAATAATGATATCGTCAAGGTAGACGAGACAAAATTTTCGTAAGTATCCCGCTAACACTTCTTGACCCATCGTACGTTGAAATGTAGCGGGAGCTCCCTTCAACCCGAATGGCATGACCCTGAAGTGGAATTTCCCTCCGTCTGGGGCGGTAAAAGCAATAAGCGGCCGGGATTCGGGATGCATCGGGATCTAGCAATATCCCGACTTCAGATCAATGGTCGAGAAAATGTTGCATTTTCCGATGGCCTTTAGAGTTTCCGGTATAGCGGGGAGGGGCGAAACTTCGTCGTAGGTGACATTGTTTAAGCGACGGAAATCCACGCAGAACCTTGCATCACCATTCTTCTTGTTGACCAAAACCACGGGTGAGTTGTACGTTGACTGGCTTGGTTCTATAATGTTATCTACAAGCATTTCCTCGACTTGTTCTTGGATCAATTTCTTTTTTCCTTCGGAGTATCGGTAAGGCGGAAGGCAAAAGTGTTCGTCTTTAGAAAGACGAATAAGGTGCTGAGCAGTCTTAGTCGGAGACGTTGGCTTCGAAAATACCTCTGGGAAATCTTCTATTATTTTCCGAAATTGATCGACGTAGTCCGGGGGAAAATTCTGCGTAACCAGCTGTTCACTGGGCGCAGTCTGTATGGCAGGAGTTGGTGCTGGTCTAACCCAGTAGATAGTCTGGCGTGTATTTATACCGAAATGAATGCACTTCCTCTCAAAACACACGTAGCATTAACCTGCAGGAGCCAGGGCATTCCAAGGATGATGTCATTCTTTAGACCTTCAGCAATGAGGAATGGAATTTCTTGGGGAAACTCGTTGACATGTATTGTAAGAGATACGGTGCCCAAAATGCGCATTGATGTTCCGTCAGCGAGGCTAGCGGCCGATGTCGAAACGAAGACTGGATGTAGGTCGTGTGTCAAACGAGAACTGATAAAGTTGTGGGATGCTCCTGTATCCAGTAAGGCGTCTACGCGCCCTTCTTGTAGGCGGAGTGGTATTTTCGGCATCCAACAGGGTGATATGACGATCTGGTGGTTTTGAATTGGTGTGTTCCCGGCCTTTAGTGAGGGCGCTGGGCGGGCGTGCTTTCCTCGGCCTGTTTCCAGTTTTCCGATTCCATTAAAATATTTTCGAATGGTCTAGTTGAAATCATTGGTCCTTTATATGGTGGTCGATAGGGATTTCTGTCATATTTAGTTTTATTGCAAGTTTCTTCGATACCATTGTGGTTTACTTCATGGTAATTAATAATTTTTTCGAGAGCTTTATCTTAGGTAAGCGGGGATAGATTCAAGTTAGTTTTTAAAATTTTAACGTCATTACGCTTGCGTTGAAATTCGTTAAATAGAATTAAAAATATTTCATGTTGAAAATGTTCATCAAACTGTTTATCAAAGAAAATTCCAACTTGTTTTGGTACTTTCAATTGATTGTCTTCTAATACGTGTTGTAACCAGGGAAGGGCATTTTGGTCCTCTAAAGTTAGGGTACATATGATTCTACTTAAGTTCGCGTTTTTTGTTGTGAACTTCCTTTTTCCTGATTTAATTATAAATTGTAATTGAAAAGTTTGTAATGGACGTTCAGTTATAGTCAAACTAGGTATGGGGTTTTCTTGTGCTGAATGAATAGTCACCATGTCGTCATCTTTGTCGTTGGGATTGTTAAAATTTCCTTGTTCGTCTATGTCAGTAATTAGTCGTTCAAATTCTTGTGGATCTGCATTATTGCACATGGATTCGAGATCTAAGTCTCCAATTTCATCGTCTTCGAGCGCATTAATCTCTATACGAGATAATGCATCCGCGACATGATTTTCCTTACCTTTTATGTGCCTGATTTCAAAGTCATATTCCGATAGCTTTATTTTCCATCTGGCTAAACGACTCTGGGGTTCATTAAGAGAGTTTAACCAGACTAACGGTTGATAATCAGTCTGTAACAGAAACTTGCGGCCGAATATATATGGTCGAAAATTTTTGCATGCTTCTATGATTGATAGCAGTTCTTTTTCTATCGTACCATAGTTTCTCTCGGCGTTATTGAGGGTTCTCGAGTAAAAAGCTATGGGATGATGATCTTGAGAAATAACGGAACCAATAGCCTTATCCGACGCGTCAGTTGTAATGAGGAATTGTTTATTGAAATCAGGATAGGCTAGTATAGGTGGGTTTTTAATTAGCTCTTTTATCTGATTGATGGCATTAACATATTCATTATTGTTTACATCTATTTTTGAGTCCCAGAAATGATTTTAACTCTTTGGTCGTTTTAGGTATTGGGAAATCGTTAATTGACTTAATCTTATCGGGATTCGGTTTTATTCCCGAAGTGGTAATTACATGTCCGAGGAAAGGGACTTCCTTTCTCAGAAACTCTGACTTATCTAACGAAACCTTGAGATTAACCTGCTGTAACTTGGAAAAAACTAGTTTTAGATGCAAAAGATGGTCGTGTAGGCTTTTAGAAAATATGACTATATCGTCCATATAGACGAAACAAAACTTATATAGAAATTCTTTTAACACCTCGTCCATCATTCTTTGGAAGGTAGCGGGCGCGTTTTTTAACCCGAATGGCATTCTTACATACTCAAAGTGTCCGTTTTCAACTGAAAAGGCTGTTTTTTCAATGCTTTTTTCGTCTAGTGGGATCTGATGAAACCCCGAGGCTAAATCAAGAGTGGTATAGTATTGACATTTGCCTAATGAATCTAATACATCGTCAATACGCGGGATTGGGTACTTGTCCTCGATTGTTTTTTTATTAAGGTCTCGAAAATCAATGACCAATCGCCATTTCTTTTTTCCGGAAGCGTCCGTTTTTTTGGGAACGATCCAGACCGGTGAACTGTATGGGGAAATTGACGGTTTAATGATATTATCGTTTAAAAGATTTTTAATTTGTTTTTGTATTTCATCTTTTAGTTTTTGAGGGTATCTGAACGATTTTTTATAAACTGGGTCATCGTCGGTCGTCCTAATATTGTGCTTGACATTGGTTACTGCAGTTAATTTCAATTGATCCTTATGAAAGATAGATTTAAATTGCTTACATAATTGAATTTTGTTTTTGTCTTCTTAATTCATATGTTCAGTTCGAACGTCTGTTAGAGGATCAAATTGACTGTTGTCATCTAGTAATAATGGGTTATCGGTAGTATATATAATGTTGTTAATTGGTTCTATATTCAAAGTGTCGTTAATATTAAAATTATTCAGGCAATGTAATTTTACATATCCTTGGTTTATGTCATAGAGTCCGGGAATTATACTTTCACTAGAAATAAAGTATGCACCATCGTTAAGTGATAATGGTACCTTAATTGTATCAGGAATGTTTATTTGTTCTTGTCCGTCGGTCGTTTGGTGAAAAGGAATTTGCGTTTTGTCAGTGATAATGAGGTTGTCTTTATAACTTATGATGGCATTTAATAGCCTTAAGTCGTCATTACTGATCAAAGCGTCGAATTTTTCATGCCAAGGAAAAATTAGAAACTCAATATAGGTGTCTTCATTAAATTCGTGAAGAAAAGGAATTTTAATGCGATACTTACCATTAGTTTGACCGTGAACAGTTTTTACTTCAAATGGTTCATAAAAAATATATTCAGAAAAATAANAGTAGAAACACATCTGAGGGATGAATGTCCCTGTACCAATATTTATACCTTATGCTTTTGATAAAGCCTAGTCACTATCAGTGAACTATGGCTGTTTGCATAAATACTGTGGGAAAGTCTATCTAGACAAAAGTTAATATTGTTGAAATACTTATCTACCAAATAATATACG